TTTGAGAATGATAAGGGCAATGAATGTACAAATGTGCTTTACACATTTGTATGTGTGGATTGTGATAAGAGTTGTATGAGCCCCCAATAAAATGATTTTTAAAATTATCCAATTAAAAAAAAAAGCAATACTTCAAAAAATGTGCTGGAAAACTCAGCTTATACACGAGTATATACAGTAGTAACTTTATATAAATTTTATTATATGATAGAGAAAAGATATTCCTTGATTCAGGTACTCTAACAAATAACAAAGAGATAACATCACTACTGGAGGTCACAGGCCACATACACCAACAAAGCTAGCTTGTTGTTCACCCTGGTCAATTCCACCTGACAACATGATCACAGTTTATCACTTGCACTAACAGTCAGCCAGCTGAGAGATCCAAATTAATGAAAAGATGGAATCCTTCAATGCAACAAAAGAGAGAAGAAAAATATTCATACTAAATGAACAAAGAGACCAGATGGAAAAGACAATTTTAGCATGCTAGAAGGTCAAAAGGAAGGTTTGCTTTCGTTCAATCCAACAAACCTATGTGAGAGCCCACTACCTCCTAAATGATGTGCTTTCAATGAATGTAAGAAAGAAATAGAGCCACGACTCTCGCTTTCAAAGTCCTTTTGGTTTAAAAGGAGAGAATGAAAACAGTTTCAATCCAGTGGTTACTAAGACAGAAATATACAGAGGAACAAAATTCGCTCAGAGGTCACCTATTCAAGGACCCTTCAAATAAGTCAATAGGAATTAATCAAAACTTGAAGAGGAAAGGGATTATAAATAGGCAATAGCAGGATGAAAAAACACATGAGGATTCACTCTCGCATTCACTGACTCACTCACTGACTCACTCACTCACTCAGTCTCACTCACTGACTCACTGACTCACTCACTCTAATTCGCTCACTCTCATTCACTCACTCACTCTCTCACTCACTCACTCTCTCACTCTCATTCTCACTCACTCACTCACTCTCTCACTCACTCTCATTCACTGACTCATTCATTAAAAAAAAAGAAAAAAAAACACATGAGAGTTGATTATTTGATAATCAAAAACACTGAGTGAAGCTAAAATTATGGCACTTAATATGACAGATTATTATAATAAAGCCTTGGTTTTTTATTAAACACACACACACATATGTACACACACAAAGAATAAAACTGTTCTGGGTGTGGTGCTGGGATCAATAGTTTGTTCTTATGGCTGTATGAAGAGTGAGGCACAGCAGGGAGAGACTGGAAAATTAACAAGCAGATGACAGAAGTATTAAAAGGCCAATTAAGGATTTTGATCTTTAGGCTGTTACTGAAAGGGAACTAACTAATGGATGATCTTAAGCAGGCAAGACTTCAGTGTCTGATATATCACTCTAGTGTCAGTATGGATGACAGATTTAAAGATGGCAAGTCTATGGGAGGAAGAACAATGGGGACAAGCCTATCAATTTTCTGAGGACAGTTGTCATCTATCCCCAATGCCTATACCTCAGTGCCTGGCACTTAGGAGCCCCAGAAATGTTTGTCAAACAAATGAATGAAGGCAGCTCATAGCCAAAGCCCTAGTAGCAGAAGGGAAAAATAAAAGAGACGACAGGCATGAAAAATATGAGCTGAGGTAAAATGAGCTAAGCTTGGTGATCATCTGGTAGAAAGATAATGGACAGAAAAGAGTCAATGATACCCCGCTGGTTTCTGGCTTAGGAGACTGAGAGGGCAGATGTCCCTATTTAGACACAGGGAATGAGGAAAACCACATGTAGGGAAACAATTCAATTTCAGGTATGTCAAGCAAGAGGTACTTAAGAACTGTATGAGAGACTTTTCTCAGTAAGCACTTAGGTATACAACTCTAAAGCTCACAAGGGAATGTTACAGCTAAAGATACAGATTTAGTAGTCATCAGCATACAAGTAGTAGTTAGACTATGAGAGTGAAAGAGGTATCTGGGATTTTACCATGACATTATATATGTATATGCATATGTACATATATATGTACATAGGCTGTAAAAGTAACTCTCAGTACCACATCTGTGGAAAGAAATTACGGAGAAGCTTGATATCATTAGTCAAGACAA